CAGCATAGAGAGGGTCCAGAGGAGGGCCACTCGCATGATCAGGGGACTGCAGGGCAGGCCCTATGAGGAGAGACTACGGGACCTGAACCTGTTCAGCCTCCACAAGAGAAGGCTGAGGGGGGATCTTGTGGCCTGTTACAAACTGGTCAGGGGGGATCAGCAGGCATTGGGGGAGTCATTGCTCCCCCGAGCACCGCCAGGACTGACCAGGAATAACGGTCACAAGCCGGCAGAGGGTAGGTTTAGGTTAGACATCAGGAGGCGCTACTTCACGGTCAGGGCAGCTAGGGTCTGGAACCAACTTTCGAGGGAGGTGGTGCAGGCTCCTACCCTGGGGGTTTTTAAGAAGAGGTTAGATGAACACCTTGCTGGGGTTGTTTGACCCCAGTACTCTTTCCTGCCATGGCAGGGGGTCGGACTAGATGATCTTCTCAGGTCCCTTCCGACCCTAGAAACTATGAAACTATGAAACAGAGCACAAAGCAGTGATCCTGCAGCTTCTCCAGTAATTAGGGCATTTGTGGGCAGCAAAGCATTTCCTGGAAGGAAACTGCATGTGGCATTTGGAGAATTGGGATGCAGCACATTGAGGCTGAAGGCTATTATTCTTAACCCATGCTTGGTCTCTGGAGGGAGAACAGTCCTCTGTCTTTGTAGAGGTAGGCATGGACTGCTAGCTACAAGGGTGGTAGGATGGCCCTGAGGATAGTCCACTGGCCTGGTAGGCAACCTGGCTTCAGCTCCTAGCACTTCCACACCCATACCCAACCTGGTCTGACTTTGAGAGAGTCATTTCGCCTCTGAGCTTGTGAAGCCCATTGAGATCCTTGGTGGGAAGGTGCTATAAGAGTGCACTGGATGACAGGGAGGCTGCCGTATTACTGGGGGCAGGGGGATAAAATTAAAGTGAGGGTGCACATGCAGGGCTGTGTGTAGGTGAAGTAGAGCTGCAGTGTATTCACCTGGCTGCCCCCTATGTTGTTCCTGCAGCCAAGGCAGTGAAGAATTATTGGGATGGTGAGAAGGAGGTGCTTGTGGCCCTGCGGGGCAGCACAGTGGTGCTCTCCTGCATCAACCGGGACCATATCTGGACCGAGCGACACAGCGAGGAGGAGCAGCAGGTTGTCCACTGGGACAGGCAGCCCCCGGGGGTCCCACATGACCGAGCCGACCGCCTCATTGACCTGTACGCCTCCGGCGAGGGCCGTTCCTATGGGCCGCTCTTTATCCAACAGAGGATGAACATCACCGAGACTGCCTTTGCCCTGGGCGACTTCTCGCTGAGGATCTCAGCCCTGGAGAATGCAGATGAGGGCACATACTCCTGCCACCTCCACCATCACTACTGTGGCCTGCATGAACGCAGGATCTTCCAGGTCTCTGTGAGCGAGCCGGTGAAGAAGGTGGTGAACCTCACTAACCACAACACAGCCCCAGCTCTAGGTAGGTGGCCTTGGAAGGGGAGGTTCCTCTGCACAGGCATGACTACTGTACAAGCCATGAATTCAGTGAGGGTAGCTAAAAGGGAGGGCGAGGCCCAGCTTCCCTCCAGCTCAAAGGGACAGACATAGAAATAACTCTGCACCAGCCATAGAAATAACTGCCAAGTCGTCTCTGCTCCCACAGCAGTCCTTGGTCCTCCCTGGGCAGGCCAGAGACAGGGAGGGGTATGACCAATGCACATCTCTGCCCTCATAATTTAGCATCTCTGCAAAAGGCCCATAAGTATCCCCTAAAGTATCCCTTAGGGCTTCCTCAGACTGAACCAGGGGCTGCAGGCCCTTGCAGGTGATGCTCAAACTATCACTCTTCTATCAATGCCTGGCTTCAGAGAAGAACCCTCCCTATGTCCTGATGTTGGTGGGTGGCAAACATTGCTGCTTGAGGAAGACACATCTGCACAGAGCAGAGACTACAGCAAACCCTGGGGAGCTGTGGTGTGCCTGCTTCAGCACATTTACCATTTTTGCACTTCCATGTGTTTGTCTGGAGCAAGTCACCATGTGACAGCTTTCCCAGCCCCCAAACCAGCCCTCTCATCACTGGTAATCCTCCCTCTTTCTCTCCCCCCAGCAATACAACCCCAGAGTTTAATAACATTTGAGCCTTCTGGGTATAGTTCCTTATTAACACTGTAAAATATTCATCATGGTTGAATATTTATTGGCTGCTTAATACTGAATTTAAACATGCTTCATCCATTTTTAAACAGGTCTAGTCTGCATTAGCAATAGGCTTTCCCCAGTTGCCAAGGCCTGAGCCTTTCCACAGGGACACAGGCCAGTGTCCAGAAAATGCAGGCACTATCAACTAGAGATGGCTGGGGGGACACAGCTTACAGAGAGGCTGGGCATTCATACATCAATCTCTCTGTCTGTGCCCTTTAAGCTGCCATCTCTTGGCACAGGGAGCCACATCCAGCTGATATCAGTCTGAGGGATTGTCCAACAAGAAGTAAGGTGTGTTCCTGTAGTTACTTGCACTAGTCTGGTACTGAACAGGGTCTGCCTGGGCAAGCGTTTGAGAAACCTTGAGCGTGGATAAAGCCTGTTTCATGTGGAAGGACTCTCTCACTAGTCATGCATCTTGCATCAGGGATCCAACATGGCCCTAGCAGCAAGTTCATCACCAGTGCCTTGGCCAGCTGTGTTCATTACATTGCACTGGTTGATGGCTTGGCTCTCCTGATGGTAATTCCAGTACGTGTAATTGCTGACTGACTCTGGGTAATCACATTATGCTTCCTTTTGCCGTCCTGTGGTCACACCAAATGCATCTTCTGCTCTGGTTCCTCCGAGCTCTTGCTTTAGCGTTGCTGCATGCCATCCAGTGGCTGCTGGTCTCACCCCAGCACTAGAGTCTGGTAGAGTGGTATCTGCAGAGTTTGCATTTCAGTGTAAGTCTGTTATGTACTTCGGGCTGAAAGGTGCTATATATACGCAAGGTAGCATTGATAGCATTGGTAAGAAACCCCACTTTTGGGTTTGTGACGGGCAAGAAGCATGAATGAATGAATTATTCCAAGGGGAGACAGACAGAGGCCCTAATTCAATCTGGAGCAACAAACCGTCTTTCTGCCCAGTGTTAAATGGATTTTCATTTCACTTCAGCAAATGGGATCACCAGAGCTTTTCCTTAGGACACTTGTATGTGTTGTTACAGTGTGTGGCACTGAATACAAAAGAGCTGCTCTTCTTCCCTTGTTTTGAATGATGGCAGGTGGGCTCATAGGTCTTATAGTGCACTTCAGTCACACGAGCGGCAATGATGTCTAAGCTTTGGAGCTGGGGATCAGGATACCTGGGCTCTGTTACTGGCCATGCCACAGTGACTTGCTTTGTCACTTGAAACAGATCACTTGGGTCACCCTTGCAGCCCTTGCTTTTGTGGGGTAGGGGTGATTTCCCTGGGCCTGTGTGGAATGAAAGCAACATTTCCTTGCCTTGCAGAGGCGATGTGATCTTTCACTGGCTAAAACTCCTGAAGCACTTTGAGATCTCGGGTAAAGGGTGTGCAGCATGACCTAGAGAAATAGCAGAAAAGAGCGCAGGTGAAGGAGGCATCTAGCTTTTTGAAGACATTGGTCCTAACTCATTCATTGGGCTCTTCTGGTCAGTGCCAGAAAGAGCAGATTGAACCCACTCTGGTGCATTGGCAGCATTCCCAGTGACTGCAGCAGAAGGAGAATCAGGCCTAAGATTGTGCTGTTCCTCCTCTCCATTATAAGAGCATGTTAATAGAGGTTCTTGGTGCAGAGCCCTTGCTTAGCATCTCTCTGAGGAGGCTCCCTGATGGCTTCTTTGTGTACAGGCCCTGATCCAAAGACCACTGCCTACAGTAGGGTTTGCCCTGGGCTGGGTTGAGCCGGAGCTGTGTGAGAAGGGCTTGGGCCCCCTGGGAGGGAGTGCTTATCCGGCCTGACAGCACTGCACTGAGACTGCTGAGTCAATGGGAATTTGAAAGAAGCTGAAACGTTTCATGTGCCTGGTCCAAGCCCTTTCCTGCTAAGCAGCTTGCCGGAGCTGCTCCTGCTTCCAGAGCAGAGGGAAAGGCCATCGCCAAAGCCCTGCTCTGTGATGGGCCAGAGGAATAAAAGATACCCAAAATAAGCCTAAATGTTAGGAGATAACAAACCCAGAATAGTAATCTTTCTCATTGAACAGCTCTGGTCCCAGGCGTTGCTCCAAGGCCTGGAGCCATTTCCAGGCAGGAAACTTCATCTTCCTATTAAATATAAACTTGGGCTCTGTTCTGCTCTGGGTCACACTTGTGTAAGTCTGGAGCAAGCCCATTGATTTCAGTGGTGTAACACTGGATTTACGTTGATGTAACTGAGCGAAGAATCAGGGTCTTTTATCTCTGTTGCTCATTGCAGAATAGTTCACAGATTCATGCTCGTTCCCCTTCTGGCATTTGGAAATATAAGGCCAGATCCTCAACTGCTGCACTTTGGTGTAGCTGTATTGACTTGAGAACCTAAACCTGCAAATAGTTACCATGACAAGGTGCCGAACTTTAATCACATCAGGTGCTCCAAGTGGAAACGCTGGAACGAGTAAATCTATATGCGTGCTTCAGTTTCGCAGAGTAGGGGGTCAAAGTCTGCATGCAGTAAAAGCATCTGGATTCCATGTTTCTACACATCAGCTCCATACTAAAATAATTGGCTCAGCTGGGATCACCAAACGATTCCCTTATGTCACACATCTTGGCTTGGGATTTGCCAAGTGATGGCTCTCATCTTTTAATCTGAACCTAAACGCTTATCCCATTTCAGGGAGAGGGAGGAATTCAGCTGTCAGCTAAAATCAGTTCTCTGTTAACCCTCACTTTGAGGTAAGTAGGCTAGAAAAGTGCAGTCGGCAGCAGCCAGCTCCACTGATTTGAAGGCTGGAAGGGACCTTTCTGATTATCCATTCTGACTGCCGTGGAATTTGCCCAGTAAGAATATTCTGCCTTTGGAGAGAGCAAAACCTCCGGTCTCAGTTTTCCCTGTGGGTATATGTGGGATGTTTAACTACATGTAACAAGCTGTTTTCATTGAAATTGTAAAAGCTGCCTTGAAATTCTTCTGTTCCCCTCAGGGTTTGCGTAAGTTTTCTGTTGAAGAATGTAATTTTGGGGCAGGATACTGCATTGTTTAAACAAATCAACAGCGAAGGAAGGAAAAGGATCCTTCTTTCCCCCTTCTGTTACTTCTCTACTGCTGAGGGACGTGAAATGCTGAGTTTTGTTTGCTGGGGGTACACCCAAATGCATCCTTTTATCAGCAGAAACTCAGCCCATGGTAAATCAGTGCTGATAGCTCCCCATAGCAGCCCCGAGAAACGAGCACAAAAACTAACAGCCATCATGAGACACTTTTGTCCAGAGTGGTGCTCTGAACTTCAGCAAGGAGAGCCACATGCATGGGGCAAAATGGCTAGGGGATGGTAGCAGCTGAAACAGAGTAGAAAGGTTAATTCTGGGGTGGGGGAACAACTAAAGCAGATTATTCGGTGGACATCAGATACTTCGTTTTGGATACGGATGCTAGGTTACATTCATGGCTGGCCCCAAGTCCTTTAACCTGGGTTTATGAAACTCCCGGTGGACATCAGTGGTGTGCCATATGCTGTACATGTGTTAAGGATCGGACGGCAGGGTTTGGAGCCTCGTGTATCGCCATCAGTTAGTCTGGCTTGTGAGAGCACCAGCTTAGCAACTCTTTCACTGCTGGCTACGTTGGCATTGGCTTGTTTGGATGAACTGTGCAGAATGTTTTGGGGAACTTGGGAATGACGAACTGGATTGTATAATCCAGCAAGTTTGGGTCTTGCTCCCAGCAGAAAGTTGCATCACCAAAGCTTACACCTGGGTGCAAGACTAAGCTACAGAAGAAAATGTACTAGAAACTATATAGAGAAGTGTTCCTGGCTCTGTCACTGGGCTTCGAAGTGACCTGGGCCAGCCTCAGTTTCCCTGCTGAAAAATGCTTTGAGATCTATTGAAGAAAAGTGCTGCGTAACCTACGGGGGTTAGTATAGCCTCATAATATAAACCACAAGTAGCCCAAAGCCCTTTCAAAGAGGCTCCATCACTCGCTATGTGGTTGAAATTCCTGGAGTTGACAACAACTGAAGCCCTCCTCTGTGCAGTGGGCGATAGCATGGGAAGGCAAGGGCAGCCGCATTTACAAAGGCTGGCACCTGGCTCCAACATCTGCCCACACGGTTGCTGCCTCTGCACAGCAGCTACGGCAGCCTTTAATAATCTCAAGATTTGTTACAGCCCAACTGCTGTTTACCATGTTTACAGCTCTTCAAGCAAGTGTTTTATTTTTGGCCTGACTGTGGTGACAAAAGCTACTCAGTCCATCCCCGGCAGTGCCAGCCAGCAGCTGCCAGCGCAGCATCGAGCAACAGCAGTAAAAGAGGGAAGGGCAAGCCGATCCGACCAGACAGCACTTGCTGAGCCTCTTGCTTTTCCAGTCTTGCTGCTGGCATCAGCAAGGCCCAGGTTTGGCTTGCAGCTTTTTGGCCCCATCTACCACAGTATGTTTCTTTTCTTTCCTTTTTTTACAAGCAAAACAAACTCCCATGTCCCATAGCCAAGAGCCGCCAGCATCTCAGCAGTGCCTCTCATGCCAGGCTTGCTAGGGCTTCACGGTATTTAAGTAACATTCTTAGCAGTTATAGAGAGAAAATTAGCCATCCCCCCTCCTTGAAATGTGGAAACTGAGACGCACAACAGCCTAAAGATGATATTTGTCTTAGATGATTTTAAAGGTCCCTTTCTCCGCGTGTCTACCCTCCCAGGAATGAAAAGAATGGAAGACCTGTCCCCCGTGTCTAAAGTTGTCACGAGAGTGAATTCCTTGTTGAGGACTGGATCTGACCTTGTCTGCAGCTTGAGGGTATCTGTTGCTCTGGTCCGACCCACTGAAATGAGAGGCCCATCTTAAGAAGCTTGGAGCTGAATCTCTCCTGGGAGGTTCGGGTGCATGCAGGTCCAGGATATACAATTTTAGGCCCACATCTAACCACATTTCTTTCACAAAGTTTAATGAAGACTAACAGGCGCTTGTGTGTCTGTCCAATTTGCCCTGCCTCTAGGTCACGGGTTCCCAGAATCCCAAACTTATGCTGCAGACCGGCAAACTGTGGACCAGCAGTGACCAGCATACTGCGGGCAGGCAGCCAACCCTTTTTTATACTCAGTATAAATTACTTACGCTTTTATACTCGGTATAAAAAAAAAAGGCTGCCGGTCCTCAGCATGCCAGTCACTTCTGGACTTCCAGTCCAGCAGCCAACCCTTCTCTGGGGACCCCTGCTCTAGGTACCAGAACGTTTTGCCACTTTCAGCAACACATTAGTCGCAGTTTATTTCCCAGATCGTAATGATTTATGCCTTGTGACAAGAAGATGAAAATGAAGGCTGAATCCGACCTTGGGCAGGCTGGTCTGGCAGGAGGAGATGGGGAGCTTCATCCCTTCTGCAACCTGTAGAGCATCATGAGAGGAAAACAACTAACATCCGAGGAAAGGACCTTGAGGTCCCCTGCAACCCGCTGATCCCATTAGTCTAACTCGCCAGCCTGTGTACCGCAGCCTCGGCAGGGCACAGCCTGCGGGCTAGGGCTATGTCTGCCTGCCAGTCGCACTTACCACCATCATTAGGAAGCACCACCCAAACACCCTGCACTGATGCTCAGGGAAGCAGCGTAGTGCTCGACCTGGTCCCACCTCACCAAGTTCTTCCTTCTTTGTAGGATTTTCTCACCAAGCAAACACCAGAGAAGTTCCTCTTACCTATTCCCTGCCTCCCCCAAGATCTAACCCAGAGACAGCTATAAGGTTTCCTGATTCCTCACTGCCTTAATTTTCCATTTTACTCTAGCTGAGTGCGTCCCAGTCCCCAGGAGCCCTGGATCACTCGAGTGTTTAATTAAAGTTTGGCTGATTGACTTAGTGGGCTATTTAAATTAGGCCTGCTGTAATTGGGGTTCTGGACAGAGCCAGGCACAGTCCGCACTCTCGGTGGTTTGTTAATTGTAGGGGATATGGAGTTTCTGGACCTTGACTGTGTTTGCAATGGAGCTGAATAGTTCAGAGCGTTCCCAAACGGCCTGAAAAGCAAAACCAGCTGTTGGAGTTATGATGAACTCACTGGCGAGGCTCCACAGTGACACTTTTGTTGCAGGCGATCATCTCGGCCCTTCAGGGACACCGGGGGCAGCACTCCACTTAAGGCAGAACGACTGAGAAAGCGTCAGGGTGATCAACCTGTGCTGGCAAAGCTGGGGCAGCTTGGGTCAGATCCTGGGGGGCTGCGTGCTAAGTAAAACAAATTGGGGTGGGGGGGCTTCAACGTCATCCTGGGAACCATTTAGTCTGGGCCACAGAGTTGCTGCCCGATTTGGCACAGCCCCTGCTTCGGACAGATGCAGGCCGCAAGCGTCAGCAGAAGGATGGAGTTTCTTCCTGGGCAGGGGGAAGCGTGCGTGGCTCCTGGGAGCTCATTTGTCTGTGCCGTTAGCTCCTGTTCTCACACACACGCAAGCAAACTTGCAGAGGAAACTCTGAGCCATGTTCTGCTCTCACTCATGCTATCTATGCCAAGCTAAGCAGCCCACGTACCCTCCTCAACAGGGGTGGGGGGCAGCAGTGAACAGAATTTGATCCCGAGCTAATTGTCAAGCATGCAGACAGGGAGCTTGCCATGCAGTGGCAGTAGCCTCCAAGGTAAATCCAGGATTCCTGGCTCCTAAGTCCCTGTGTCAGCCCTTAACAAACTCAGCCTGGGTAGACTAAAAGGCACAGTCACTGTATGGAGGTTTCTGCCTTCCTTTTCCCTTCTCCTCTTGCACTGTCTGGGGAGGTGACTCCCGAGAGGCCTGTAAGTTAGATTGCCTGCCTGGTGCTGTGTGGGCTCCCTCCGTCTCCAGGAGAAAGTCTCCCTTTGAACTCTGCTTGCAAGGGAAGTCTCCCCCTCCCCAGCTCGCTGGGCATGGGGGCTTTGCTGTCTCTCCCCCGGCACAGGGAGGACCTGGTGGGATCTACTGTGCCCCTTACTCTTGCAAGCAGACTTGGCTCTGAGTTTTTATGTCTGTTTTCTGTTTTTGAAAGCATGGCCCCATAGCTCCAGGCTGACAGAGGCTTAAGTTTTGAAAGCATGGCCCCATAGCTCCTTCCACATACAGAGGCTTAATTTTTTTCCCCCTTCTCTGCATGGAGAAAGAGAAATCTGACCTGGGAAACTGCTATGCCCAGCACCGGGACAGACTCCTGGCTTGGTCTTTTATTTAATATGTATTTTATTTCCCTTAAAAGAAAACTCATTCTTTGGCATCAGACATTCCTTCCACTCCATAAATTATGCCACTCGGCAGGACCGGGCTGCTCATACTCGCGCTGTCTGGAGCTAGAGCGGTGCTGTGCGTATGTCTGCAGGGAGCGGGTGGGGTAGCTGCGGCCTCACCCAGCAATACCTGGTTGTCTTGCCAGGCCCCGTGCTGGGCTCCCCTCGTGCACTCGGTCGGAGCAGCGCGCCAAGCACAGGAATCAGCAGCACAAGCTGCAGCCTGCTTCCCCGTGCAACCCCAGGAATTTTAAACACATGGGGATGTTGAGGTTATTGAAATATGGTATGGCAGAGAGGGATGAGGGCCTCGCAGTGCACGTGTTGGTGTGGATCTCACAGGGTTGGGGGCCAGTTCCAACCTCTGGCTGACCTTGTTATCTCTCGGTAACTCAGCTCCTCCCTGCCAAATGGGGAGAATGATCCTCTCACGTGAACCGTCCAAAGAGGTGAGAGGGGGTGTGTACAGCTCCTAGCAGAGTGAGGCCTGATCTCAGTCAATGCCTCCCGGTGTTGCCGAACAGAGAAGTATTAACTGCTGTCCCACTGGGCTTTGAGGTTGAGTCCTGGGTTTTAGCTTGTCCCTTTGTACCAAGGGGGCAAGCCACCAAAATGTCAGCTCTGGAAGCAGATCTAAAATGAGAGGGTGTTGAAATAGGGGCTACCTTTGTCTGAGGATCACCTGCCCCTTCCTCCCTGAAATGCAGCTACTTCAGTGGTAGCCACTCTGCACCCCTCAGGATCTACCAGGGGGTGTGAGGAATAACTCCTCTCATTGAACACACTCTTAGCTCCTTAAAAAATGGCCTTTGAGCAGGACGTCAGACAGGACCTGTCAGTGCTTTGCTGTGCTCCATGTGATGCCTGCTGTTGCCTTAGTCTGTCCTGCTTTCTCCCTCCAATCCTAGACCCCAACATCATCAAGAGCCATAATGTGATAAATGTTATCATCCCCGAGAGCCGGGCACACTTCATCCAGCAGCTGGGCTACATCCTGGCCACACTACTCCTCTTCATCATCCTCCTCATCATTGTTGTCTTCATCACCCGTAAGCGCCGGCGGAGAGGTGAGCATGGCACCGGCAAGGAGTGGCGAGAGCTGCAGGAGTGTTTCCACAGTCAGGGTCCCAGCAAGCAAACCCACCCTGGTGCTGAGCCTAGTGCTGGGGGCAACAAGGTGTTGTGTGGTACCTGGGAGTTCTTGCAGGAGGTGGCTCTGAGAGGCTCTTCATTGACATGGCTATAAAAACCAACAGGGTCTGATTCCACTTTTTGCTCATCCAGATGTAAAACTCCAGGGCAGCCAGCTGGCACGTGAGAGCAGGCAGTACCAGGGATGTGGTGTAGACATGTTTAGGACTAATCAAAGTGTTAGTAGCATCCACAGCCTTGCGTGGACTAAATACCAGAGATGAGTAAGGGTCCTGAAGACTAGCCATCACTCATCCTGGGAGCCCTAGAGATGAGGGGCAGGTTGGATGGTGCACAGGAGTGATGAGGCTGGGATGCGTTCAGGAAGGGAATGTGATTGGGATGGGGAAGACGTGGGTCTCTTGGGAGCACCGTGATAAGAAGTACTGCATAAGGGCTAGATGTTATTGTTTTTCTTCATCCCCACCAGTGCCAGGAGTGGGTGAGAATGGGTGGATTGCATAAAATTGCTCACTGTGTGCATCTCTTCCCCCCTCTAGGCTACGAGTACAATGTGAAGAAACACGGAGAGTAAGTTGGGATCTGCTTTAAGGGAATAAAATACCAAATGGGGTGAAAGGTTGCATCTTAAAGAACGTGGTCCCAGCGTCAGCTGCTGTGCATTGGGGTACTTCTACTCACTTTGGAAGAGCTTGGCACCACTAGAGGATGCGACTGTGATGTGCGCAGCCACATAATAAGCGTATCATTCGATAGGACTGCTGCTACCTCGTAGTTGACTCGCCTGCAATGTCCCATAATTGTTACTGTTATTGTGTACTTGGGACTGCATGCACAGAAAATAATGGTGCATCCTGGCAAGTAGCTTTGATTTTTCCAAAGCATAAAAGGAGGTGTTGGAGCAGACTTGGCAACTGGATTTCTTCTGCCCTAACACACTAGGGACTGATCCACCAGTGAATAATGCTTCATTAGCAATGAAGTAGAGGCAAAACTGTTTACATCTGCTGCAAATACTCCCGTGGTTATCCTAGAATCAGGCCTGACTCCATGCCCCAGAGCTAGCCTTGGGTTTTCTTCATATTTTGACCCATTTCCATGACTTATGATTATCTATTTGTCCTCTGTAAAGGAAAACAGACATTTAGATGATATGGGATGGGAGAAGCTGGTGGCTTATCCATTGGTCTCAGAGAAGGAAATGATGACTTCAGTAGGAGGGTGTACACTTTCATCAAGAACCCACTGCCTTGTGTCTTGTCCTCTTCTTGGAAGATGTTATAAAATTTAACAGGAATATTGTTCTTAATTATTATCTGCATTAGAATGGCACTGTGAGGTCCCATTTGAGTGCCATGGCTGATCATGCTGGGTGATGCACATACACATGGAGAGAAACAGTGCCTGCTGCAAAGATCTTGCAGCCTAAATAGACAATACAGACAAAGGAAGAGGGGAAATGGAGGCACTAAGAGGTAAAGTGACTTGCAGAAGGTCATGCAACAAGCCAGTGGCAAGGACAGGATTAGTATGGGAGCTTCCTGACCACTGGAATATGTCATCTCCCACCTGTCCTGCAGCAGCCACAACATTTTGAGATGAACTCTATAACATTATAGTATCAACAAGTTTTAAGCAGCATTTCCATTAAATTTCTTAGGACTTTTCCATTTGGGTCACATCTAAAGGTTAAGATGATGACAGAACTATTAAAGCAGTCATTTTTAAAAGGTTAAATTACAAAGAATGATTGAACCACAGATCTCCCATTATCTTCAGTATGGGTAGTACAGCTAAAATCCTCTACAGTCACCAGCAGAATTGTAAATGGCTGGAAGATGGGAATCAGAGGTGATGGGAGAGGGATGATGGGAAAAGAAAAATGACCTGGCAAGCATGAAAAGAGCCTGTGGCACCAGACATAGAAAGTATGTGACAATTACTTTCTTGTTCACTTTATCAGGAAAGATGTAAATCTCAAAGAATTTATGGCTGACACAACGGACCTGACCCGATATAAGGGTGAAGACATAAGGCTGGGTAAGTGTTGGGTCAGGAAGCATCTCAAGCAACACCTTGCAACCTGTGGACCAAAACTCATCACAACTGAGCTTTCCCCAACGGTTGAGGACCAGATTCTTCTTCACTTCAGTGAGGGTTGAACTTCCAAAATCTTTTGGCAGCTTTGGCAATCTGCACCCACAAGCTTGGGTGAGGAGGGGGCTCGAGATGATGGGGATTTTAAGTGTTTTATGGTTTTTGGTGGAAACCAGGTGAAACTCTGTGGTTTCACTCTTGGATTTGGAAGTATGATGGTCCTACTTTATTGGGTCTCCCACCCAAGAATCTCAAAGCATTTTGATGTCACGGGAACTATCACCCCCACGTCAGAGACTGGCAAAAAGCCGTATAAACCAACCGAGTAGCTTCTCCAAGGGTACACTGAGAAGGACATCCCATCCTGGTTCAGCAGTTGCCAGCTCTGTCTACAACACCTCCGCACCTGTCCCAGGGGACTGTGTGAGGAGCTGTTGACTGGGAGGAAGGAGAGCCATGAGCTAGTTCCAATCCCTGCCTCCAGTCTTCCACACTAGGAAACTTTACTCAGCCACTTGTGATGAAATCTTGTGCACCATCATGCCGATCCTGGGGCGCTTATTTGGCAGTGGAGGAAGAGGACACAGGGTGTATCCTATGAGGAGGGGGTGGGAGGGTTGTAGAAGGGGAAAAATTCAGAATCTCTGCAGTGGAGCTCAAGGTCGCTCAAAAGATGCTGAAATGAAGGGAAGCAAGTAAGACCCAGTGGTAGTTTACATAAGGGTGACTGTGTGGTTGTATGTGTATGCCCTGGGGCTCTTAACAGACCTGGAGGTGGATGCTTGAAATTGTGGCCCTGTTTTGATCCTTTGGGTGATTAATCAGGTGGCCTGCTCACCTTTCACATTCAGGGAGGGTTGGCTCTCAGGTGACATTCCTAAGGACACAAAGAGATCAAATGCACCCCTGGTGTAACTCTCTGGATGGCAGTTAACTCGCTAGCATCGTTCGGGAAGAACAATCTAGAGAGGGAGAGATGGGGCCTGTAAGATCACCAAGTGCCCAGCCTTACAGCCTGAACTAGAGCGATCCTGCTACAAAATCCCAAAACAAAAGGGTGCATGAAATGCAGTAACAAAGAACTGGGGTGCTCCGAAGAGTAGGCTCTGGGGTGAATTCTCTGCAGCAGGCAGGGTCTGGGATGGGAGTTCAGATCTGGGATAAGTCACCCTGGGCAGCTTCCAGTGACGGTGACAGCATTTTCCTGCGGGCGAATCTTATGAGACTTCCCCCGTGAACAAAATACCTTAAATATCTCTGTCAGGGAAGGCCTCCACTTGGTTTGTCCAGAGCCTTCTGCTGCAGACAAAGGCATCTGGGGCAATTATTAAAGGCAGGAAACCAATGTACTTGTAATTAAGCTGGGGTATCTGATTTCTCCTTGCCCAGCAGCTGAGTAACTTCCTGGTACGACAGGTCCAGAGAAGCAGGCAGGATGCTCTTCAGGGCAGAAATCATGCTATGGTCCCCCCTGCAGAGCTTAGTTTTCTCCCATTTCCTTGGTGGAAGCCAGGATCTGACTTGCACTCCTTTCTCGTGCAGATTACAAAAATAACATACTGAAGGAGAAGGCCGAGCAAGCCAGGACCCTCCCAGCAAAGAACATCGACTTAGACAAAGGTAATAATGACCTGTAGGCTGGATGGTCTTGGTGGGAGGGAGGAAGAGGGGAGCATCACACCATAATGCCAGCAGACCAAGCCACAGCTGGAGGAAGAATGTCTAAACATCCTGACATATGGCAGCAGGAATGAGGAGCTGGTTCTGCTTGGTTTCTTTCATCAGAAAGCCACAAGCTAGAAGTGGTGATTAGGCTCCTTAAAAGCCCTTGGCAGCACATGAGTAGAATTTTCTTTTCTGGAGGGGACTATGTAATGGAGATGGAAATCCTCTCTCCCATGTCCTTTCCCCCAACACATAGTGTCTCGGAGATGAATGCTTCTCTGGGCACAGATGCCCCAGCAGAAATATGCCCCCATAGTGGTGAGGAATGAATCACTCCTTGCACAAGGGGATAATTTCATTTATGGTTGTCATCTGCATCATCCAAAGAAGGCAAACAACCCCCTGTGAGCATGACTCTCCTGACATGTAGGTCAATATAAATCCAGAGTGACTTTGTGGAGTTACACAGATGAAAAACTGGCACTAAGTGAGAAGGGAAACAGGCCCTGTCTCTCCTGTAATTTGGTGTTTGAACCTTATCTGTGCCATGGAGATGGGATTCAGATGGTGATAGCCTAGGGCAGGGGTCAGCAACCCCCGGCACGTGTGCCGGGCACGGCACATAAGGCCATTTTGCTCAGCACACCACCACCAGCCTGGGCTCTAGGCAGCTGCTGCCAGCCATGAAGCCCGGGTTGCTCCCAGCAGGCAGCTGGAAAGCTGCAAGCCCTGCTGCAAGCAGACCAGGCTCCATAGTTGGCAGCAGCTACCCAGAGCCTGGGCCAGTTGCAGCCAGGAGGCTGCAAACATCTGCTCTGGGCTCCGGCATTAGCTCCACACCCGCGGGTGCCTTGGAGCGGATGGTATGGGAGGGGCCTGAGGCAGTGCAACCCCGGCCTCTTCCCCGCTGCTGGTACGGAGCCCAGCGCAGCTGTTTGTAGCCAGCCTGGGGCATCTGCAGCAGGCAGTGGGCACTGCAAACAGCTGCACCAGGCTCCACAGCCCTAGCATCAGCTCCATGCTGGCGGAGACTACACGTGCACCTCAGACAGCGGGGGGGCTGTGCTGCCTCAGGCCCTATCCCCACTGTCCACTCCGAGGAGCGCGTGCACCTGCTGATATGGAGCTGATGCTGGAGCCCGGAGCAGCTCTTTGCAGCCTCCCAGCTGCAGCTGACCCAGGCTCTGGTAGCTGCTGCCAACCACGGAGCCCGGGCTGCTTGCAGCAGGGCTTGCAGCTGAGCCCGCCTGACTCCCACCTGCTCCAAGCTCAGCCCCAACCCAGCCCCCCACCAGGATGAGGCTGGCGCTGCCCCTTGCCAGGAGTACTGCTCCTTTTGTGGGCTTAGCTGTGCAGGGTGGGTGGGTGGTTGGGCTGATGGGCAGGCTCTGGGCTGGGACCCCGGCCAGCTGCACTGCAGCCCAAGGGCTGGCTCCCCAGGGAAGCACAGGGGCTCTGGTGGGACCAGGGCACTGTTGGGTCAGACTTTGTCCAGTGGCCCAGCTCCGTGCGCCCGCACAGCTGGTTCTGTGCGTTTGTCTGCCTCTGTCTGGTCCTGTGTGCCTGTGTGTGCACACGTGTCTGGTTCTGGCTGTGTGTGTGCACGTGTCTGTTCTGGGCGTCTTCTGGTTCTCTGTGTGTGTGCACGTGGTTCTCTGTGTGCTTGTGCGTGTGTCTGGTTCTCTCTCTGCTCTCCTTTTTCTTTTTCTTTCTCTCTCTCCTCTTTCTCTTATTTGCCTCTTTTTTCTCCTCGTTGCAACATGCTCAACAAAAAAGGAATACACAACAACAAAGGCAACATTTATGATTATTAAATATACTAATATGCAGTGTGTCCTGCCAGATGCCACCCCCCATTTTGTTTTTCTGGCATGCCGGCACTCCGGCATCTTCCAAGGTAGACACTATAGTTTTTTTGGCACTCCAGCCAAAAAACATTGCCTACCCCTGGCCTAGGAGATCACACAGGTTGCCTTTGCTCTGGATGGAGTCACCAGGCTAGCTCTGCCTGGATTCTGCAGGGACCAGCCAGGACCATGTCTCACTCCAGTCACACCAGCATAACAATTAATTGTATCAGTGTCACCAAGATAAGAAGTCAGTGGGGGTTCCCTAGGAAATAAAGGCTACCTTGTGTCCCATATAGCAAGAGGCTCTATACATTGTCCGGAACGATGGACTTTCTGTCTGAGGATAGGTTTTTCCTATAGGGTTGACCTGCATCCATTTCACCTGGAATCGGATCATGTCGCTGACCTGAGCTAGTAAGACTGTGAGGGAGAAGGCAGCTCAAAAGGGGCTGGATGAAAGGCTCTCCATTCACTCCTTGGTCTGGACAAGGCTCTGAGCTATTTTCACAAAGAGCTGAAGCCTGGCTCACCGCATGTAGACATTTTATACAGTTCCATCACTGGAGGGGTCGTTACTGTGTGTTTGTCCTCATCAGGTTATCACAATAGGGAGAAACAGTGTTATTTCCTTCTGAAGATCTGATATGCAGCTTGAGGAGACAGGCCCCTATGTTCTAGGCTTAATCCTGGGCCACCTTTTCAGCTGAGGCTCCTTCTCCTAAACCCACAAATACACCCCAGAAACAGCTGGGCCTTATAACAGATGTTTACAGAGCGGGGTGGGGGGTATATAGCAGCTGT